GATGGGTAGATGGATGGATGGATGGTTGGATGGATGGATGGATGGACAGATGGATGGATGGATGGATGGATGGGATGGGTAGATGGATGGATGGATGGATGGATGGATGGATGGATGGATGGATGGATAGATGAGAGAGAGGAGGGAAGAGGATTGAGAACATGGCCAAGAGTGCAAGCTTAGGAGTCAAGCTGCCAGGTACTCTGCACCTCAGTTTCCTTTTCAGTTTATTTTTGACTCTTTTAACTTCCTTGGGAAGTTCAGGGAACTATATGCTATTTTACAGTTATTTAGTATGACCATGGAGTATAAAAAAAAAGGAACTTATAATAGGAATGAACCCTGTAAAAGCAGTAATAATACTTACAGTTGCAGTTGTTATGAAAACAGAATCCAAATGAGATAATACATATGAAAAACATATAGCACATTGCTCAATAAATGGAATCTACTGGGCACCTGGGTGGCTCAGTGGGTTAAGCGTCTACCTTCAACTCAGATCATGATCTCAGGGTCCTGGGATCGAGTTCTACATCGAACTTCCTGCTCAGTGGGGAGTCTGCTTCTCCCTCTACCCCTCCCCACTGCTTATGATCTCTCTCTCTCTAGAATAAATAAATAAAATATTAAAAAAATAAAATAAATGGAACCTATTAATATTAGTATCGTATACATATGTAAGTCAGATGCCAATGGGTGCCCTTGAGGACTGGATGAATATTAGCCCACCCTTGAATTCCTCAGCCTGGAATAGTCAAAAGCCCTCCTCCAATTTCCAGAACCTGCAGCCAACCTCCTCACGATGCTGTGTTCTCTGTGTCTGGGTGTGCTGTGCCAGGGCCTCCCCACCCTGCCTGCCCTCCTGCTCCATGCACTGCTGCCCCATTTCACTCTCACTGTCCCCACTCCCAGCAAGTTCATCAGACCCACGCCAGGCCAGACTCAAAGCCCAGGCCTTTCATTGACTGGCATGGGAAATCAAGTTACTTTAAGGCGGTTTATTGTTTTCTGAGTTTTTAGCTAAAGACTGGGGTAGGAGATATCGAGAGAACCAATGCAAGGCACACACCTGCCACCACCTCCCAAGCCACCCTTTCCATCTTCTTTTTCCCTCCGGCCGTGCTCCTGGTGGAAGTTCTCCCCAGCACCCACCCACCCTCAGAGCCCCTCATGATCTGAGCTTCTGCCCCTAGAGACTTTTCAAAAAATGTCTTATCCATGAGTGGGGCTATCTTCTTGAAATGAGCTCTGGAATGTTCTCTACCTCCTTACCTTCAGGCCTGAAAACAGGGAGGAGGAAACCCCATAAGATCACTTTTGGCATCTATACCTCCAACTGATACCGACCGCCACTACACTCTTCCTAAGGAATTCAAAGGGGCTCCTTTCAATTCCTCCCTGCTGTGTCCATCTGCTTGGATATGGGGAGAAGTTTGGTCCCCTTCTCCTCCAACCCCAATCCCTCGGCAGGGGCTCTATAATAGCCAAGGTCCCATGGAGGTCTTGTGAGCTGCGGGGATATGGTTTAGTTGAAGTTAGTTCAAATACAGCATCATTAGCATTTTAGGGTGACTTGAAATCGGGCACAATTGCAGCCCTGATCTTCTGTCATCCCACTTCCACCTAGAGGGGCAGGGACAGCCCT